AGTTACTTTCATCCTGCTCATCAGCACTACACTGATGAGGCCCATTAGGCCGAAACGGTACCGTCTGTAGTTAGATATCGCTCTATGGCCTTTAGGTCATATTGAGCGCTCTACAGGATGAGCCATGCCGCTTACGCATTGCGCACGCTCACTGCTTGCAGTTTGAGCGCTCTGGCATGGTTTTGATGTCCCACAATCGTGAGGCATCAAAGGTAACTATGAATAAGAGTTACTTTCATCCTGCTCATCAGCACTACACTGATGAGGCCCATTAGGCCGAAACGGTACCGTCTGTAGTTAGATATCGCTCTATGGCCTTTAGGTCATATTGAGTGCTCTACAGGATGAGCCATGCCGCTTACGCACGCTCACTGCTTGCAGTTTGAGCGCTCTGGCATGGTTTTGATGTCCCACAATCGTGAGGCATCAAAGGTAACTATAAATAAGAGTTACTTTCATCCTGCTCATCAGCACTACACTGATGAGCAGGATATATATATATATATATATATATATATATATATATATATATATATATATATATATACAGGATGAGCCATGCCGCTTACGCATTGTGCACGCTCACTGCATGCAGTTTGAGCGCTCTGGCATGGTTTTGATGTCCCACAATCGTGAGGCATCAAAGGTAACTATAAATAAGAGTTACTTTCATCCTGCTCATCAGCACTACACTGATGAGGCCCATTAGGCCGAAACGGTACCGCCTGTAGTTAGATATCGCTCTATGGCCTTTAGGTCATATTGAGCGCTCTACAGGATGAGCCATGCCGCTTACGCATTGCGCACGCTCACTGCTTGCAGTTTGAGCGCTCTGGCATGGTTTTGATGTCCCACAATCATGAGGCATCAAAGGTAACTATAAATAAGAGTTACTTTCATCCTGCTCATCAGCACTACACTGATGAGGCCCATTAGGCCGAAACGGTACCGTCTGTAGTTAGATATCGCTCTATGGCCTTTAGGTCATATTGAGCGCTCTACAGGATGAGCCATGCCGCTTACGCATTGCGCACGCTCACCGCTTGCAGTTTGAGCGCTCTGGCATGGTTTTGATGTCCCACAATCGTGAGGCATCAAAGGTAACTATAAATAAGAGTTACTTTCATCCTGCTCATCAGCACTACACTGATGAAGCCCATTAGGCCGAAACGGTACCGTCAAAATGTAGTTAGATATCGCTCTATGGCCTTTAGGTCATATTGAGCGCTCTACAGGATGAGCCATGCCGCTTACGCATTGCGCACGCTCACTGCTTGCAGTTTGAGCGATCTAGCATGGTTTTGATGTCCCACAATCGTGAGGCATCAAAGGTAACTATAAATAAGAGTTACTTTCATCCTGCTCATCAGCACTACACTGATGAGGCCCATTAGGCCGAAACGGTACCGTCTGTAGTTAGATATTGCTCTATGGCCTTTAGGTCATATTGAGCGCTCTACAGGATGAGCCATGCCGCTTACGCATTGCGCACGCTCACTGCTTGCAGTTTGAGCGCTCTGGCATGGTTTTGATGTCCCGCAATCGTGAGGCATCAAAGGTAACTATAAATAAGAGTTACTTTCATCCTGCTCATCAGCACTACACTGATGAGGCCCATTAGGCCGAAACGGTACCGTCTGTAGTTAGATATCGCTCTATGGCCTTTAGGTCATATTGAGCGCTCTACAGGATGAGCCATGCTGCTTACGCATTGCGCACGCTCACTGCTTGCAGTTTGAGCGCTCTGGCATGTTTTGATGTCCCACAATCGTGAGGCATCAAAGGTAACTATAAATAAGAGTTACTTTCATCCTGCTCATCAGCACTACACTGATGAGGCCCATTAGGCCGAAACGGTACCGTCTGTAGTTATATATATATATATATATATATATATATATATATATATATATATATATATATATATATATATATATATATATATATATATATATATATATATATATAATGTGGAAAAAAAAGTTAGCCTGTTTTATTTATCACAACTAAAAAACTAAGAGAGCTAAATATTAAAAGTTTGAAAGCTAAATATTAAAAGTTAGTTTGAAATGTTAATTACTTGAGACGAGAGTAAACCGTGTTATTTTTGAAATCCAGAATTAGCTAACAAGGGCCTATACAATTTTATCGTGATTATTCGTTTCTATGGAGAAAACAGTTTCTACGTGGTGTGCCGATGTGCTGATAAGCAAACACATGTATCAACTATAAATGAACGGTTTTCAGTCTGTTCCGATCTGCATGGGTTTTGTTAATCCGTTCCAATCCGAAATTTGCATGTCCATGCATGGTTTTGTTGATACCGCCACGCAGTTCACGTGGCATATATATAAAACAAACCTTTGGACATTTCAAAAACGGGTACATGTGACTACATATGATTCATGTTGCCATAACAATATATCAATCATAACAATATATTTCTTAATCAATCTTTATTATAATGGCAACTAGTTCACAACTCATGCCTTTTGTGGTTTTGCGAAATTATGAGGACACAAACTTTCACATCTGTGTAGTGTGCAGTAGGATATACGACTGGTCTGCTTCATATCTATAATTATTTCATAAATTCATTAATTTCTTAGCGATTCCCTGCACAGCCTTTCGCGCTCGTATTCGACTTTTCCGCTTTGCTCGGGAACAACCTTAATTGAAATAGCTGTATACAACTGGTCTGTAATAAGACAAAAGAAAACGGTTCTACATCACAGAAGTGAGTAAGAATGGCATGTGACGATGAGCGCAGTGATCGCGAGAACTCAAGTTGGAAACAATTTAAGCGCGAAGATTTACTGCAATATTCAGAAATTTTTGCATCTGAGTTTAATAAGAGTGCACTTCATGACCGTATTCTTGTATTGAAAATAATGGAGAAAGACGATGGTGTAATACTCCGAGAGAACTACCTGCAGTACGAAGTGATTGGGACTGAGACTGAGGGTAATCGAACTGCTTCTGAAGAAGGAACTGATGAGGTATAAGTATCTACACAAGTATAATGACTCCACACTCGTTCTCCCCTTGAAACTTTTCCGTTTCAACATTATCAAATTGGTGTAGCCGAATGAAAGATGATTCACTCAATTTTCATGCCCTATTAACAAATATGAAAACTACTAATTTTTTTATGTAACATGGCAGGCAACTTCACATCGCAATATTTACTAGTGTCGGATTGTTTTGTAAAAAATAATTTGAAATATATTTTCATTTTCCGGCTTTTTTTAGCAGTAAAGCGTCAGAGCAGATAGAAATTCCAAGGAGTAAAATACTTGTGAAGGCTTCATGCGAAGATCATAGAAATAGGGAGTTTAAGATCTTGACGACGAACTATATACCGACTATACGTTTGAAATAATTTTATGAAATGGTTATATAATATAGCTATGCAAATACTAAATGTTTTTCATAACAAATGTATCTTAAATATGTTTTATGCGCATGTTTTTTTTGTGTTCGGTAAGTTACATCATTCTTTTACTCTCCAACATGCAACGTTGCGTAGTCAGTTTCGGTGCTATGTTCTTCATTCTGTTTACAACACAAGAATGTGAATTCTACGCTGTAGCTAAGGTCGCTATGGTGAAAGTGAAAAGTATTTAATGCTCTGGGGATATTTATGTAAATTCTGTCTGTCTCAGTTAAACAATGCAAAACCAAACTTTCAACCGTATTCCGTACCCGTTGTTCGTTGTCGGCATCTTAAACTCCCCAATAAACCCGTGTTGCACTGAAAAAATTATAAATCATAAACGGAATTCTTCCAATAATCTAAAAATCTACGCTGTGATGGAATTTTTTAATCTCAAACTGAAATCAGATGAGATTTATGACAATTTAATTAAGACGATTTAATTAAAACGCTTTGAAACAAATGAATATTCAAAGCCCTTCAAAATACAATACGATACAATGATAAAATATGCGAGGTGCGAATTATAAAGACCTCCATATAGGCCCATATTTGGGGTCCATCTCAGGTATGTTAATGCCTGGGTCTCAGTTTGTGTATTTAGCGAAAATAGACAAAAAATCATAAAAAATAAGTATGGCCTTGATTATTACCATTCAAGTTTTATATAATTTATCAAAGGAGATGCTAAAAGTTGACCTACTTTTCGTTGTCATGGCAACGATCACGTGATGTATATTTCAAAAAACAACACAAAAAATGATACATTTTAAGGCCTGTTTAAACGGATCCAACATTGTTGGACCAACATCATCCAACAATGCTACTATACTAGATATGACTGCTTCTCTTTCAAATCTTTTTGGTTAGATAAGCTTTACTCAAACCCTAAACCTAGTCTTGACAAAATATTTGAAAAAGAAGCCGTTTGGGCCATTATTTCAACAATGTTGGATGATGTTGGCCCAACAATGTTGGATCCGTTTAAACAGGGCTTTAAGGACAAAAAAAGGCAAAAGGACTCCACTTGAACAAGAAAGGTACTGCCATTATTGCTAAATCAATCTCTTCTTATATTATTAATCATTGATTAGTAGCGACGGGTATGTCTAACCAAACCTTTTCTAATGTTGATAAAAGCGATTCTAATACGCACAAACAAACTGATTTCAACTTACCTAAACACAGAGGCTTCAAAATTGCTTTTCTAAACATTGCAAGTTTACCCAAGCATATCGATGAATTAAGATTAAACATGCAACATCAATATTTAGATATACTGGTCTTAAACGAAACTCGTCTTGATGAAACTATTAGTAATTATGAAATATCAATTGATAAATATACTTTAGTTAGGAACGATCGAACACGACACGGAGGCGGTGTAGCTATGTATATCCGAAATTCAATTAATTTTAATCTCAGAAATGATCTTCATGATGAAGCCCTTGAGTTTCTGTGCGTTGAGATCAGTAAACCTAAAGTTAAACCATTTCTAATTGATCAACGTGGTACAGACCTCCTAATTCCTGCAAGGATCTCTTTGACAAACTTCAGGTAATTTTAGATAAAATCGAGTTCCTTGGTATTGAAAATAATATCATTGGTGATTTAAATTGTAACATGAGTGCATCTATTGCAGATAATAATACTAAACATTTACTTGAACTAAGTGAGTCATATCAATATACTCAACTTATTAAGGAGTCAACCAGAGTTACAAATAGCTCATCCACGTTAATCGATCTCTTTCTTACTAATGAACCGAACAACTTTACTTCTGCGGGCGTTATATCGGGTATCAGCGACCATAATTTAATTTATGCTATCAGAAAACACTCTAGTGTTAAATCTAAGCCTATAACTATCAAATCCCGCAGTTATAAAAATTTTGATGAAACTTCATTCAAGCATGACATTGATGCTATTCCTTGGCAGTACATAGTTTCCTTAGATGATCCTATAAATGCTTGGCAAATTTGGAAAAAACTATTTCTTGATGTTGCTGATAAGCATGCTCCAGTCAAACAAAGAAGAATAAGGAAAAACTGTGCCCCATGGCTCTCTGTAGATATCAAGAAATTAATATGGGAACGAGATCGATTGAAGCGTAAAGCAGTTTATACTAATGATGAAAATGATTGGGTCAATTTTAAAACAGCTAAAAATCTAGTTAACTATAAAATTAGAGATAGTAAAAAGCAATATTATAATTCTTTGTTTCAACTCAACGTAGGTCGAACTAAAGAAACTTGGAATGGTATCAACAGTCTTCTTTCTAAATCTAAAAATTCAACTACTATACCAAAAATCTTGCAAGATGAAATCGAAATTACTGACCCAGTAACTATTAGCAATGTTTTTAATAAGCACTTCACTGAAATCGGACCTAAATTAGCAGCACAAATTCCAACAACTGGTGCGGCCTCTTCTAACATTCCGCAATGTAATGAAGTTTTTGAATTACATGAAGTTACTCCATCTCAAATAGATGGACTAATTTATAAATTATCGACTTCTAAGGCTAGCGGTCTTGATAACATTCCTGTTCGTTTATTAAAACTAATTAATTTCACTACTGTGGTTTCACTTACTCACATTATTAATCTAGTAATTCGCAAGGGAATTATTCCCGCTGACTGGAAGTGTGCCAGGGTATCAGCAATTTATAAACATGATTCAAAACTAGATTTGAATAATTATAGGCCTATTTCAGTCCTTCCTGTAGTTTCAAAAATTTTTGAAAAAGTTGTCTTTGACCAAGCATATACCTTTTTAAACAAAAACAACCTTTTATCTGACATACAGTCAGGATTTAGACCTCTTCACTCAACGTTAACAGCTATGCTTGATGTCACTGATAAATGGTACACTAATATGGACAGTGGGTTAATAAATGCTGTCTTATTCATTGATTTAAAAAAGGCTTTTGATACCATTGATCATAAAATTTTACTGCAGAAGTTAACTTGTTACGGTTTCAACAAAGAAGCGATTGATCTTTTTAGAAACTATCTTTCTGATCGTACTCAAATAACAGTTATTAACAACATACGATCTGATACTCGTAAAGTAACATGTGGAGTTCCTCAGGGGTCTATCTTAGGTCCACTACTGTTTTTAATATACATAAACGACCTACCTAATAGTGAATTGGTATCAGATGGGCGTTTATTCGCTGATGATACCAACTTGACTTTTGCGGACAGCAACCCTGACAAGTTGATTTCTGTTCTAAATGACGACCTTAAAACTCTCCAAAACTGGCTTAACCAGAATAAACTAAGCCTGAATGCGATTAAAACTAAATGTATGTTTATGGCATCCAGACAAAAATTAAGTACTATTCCTGAAGAACCTAATATTGCTATCGCCGAAAACAAAATTGAAAGAGTTAGATTTTATAAGTGTTTAGGTTTAAAACTGGACGAGAGTTTGACATGGGAGATCATGTTTCTACTATAATCTCCAAAGTCTCCAAGGTAATTGGAGTTCTACGAAGACTAAAACCATTGCTCCCACAATCAACTCTTGTCATGATCTATAACTCTTTAGCACAGCCTTACTTTGATTATTGTAGTATTGTCTGGGATAGCCTAGGTAAGGGTCTTGGACAAAGGTTACAGCGATTACAGAATAGGGCCGCAAGAATTATTACTGAATCTGATTATAACATCCGGTCATCAGATATTTTAACATCATTGAATTGGACCAACCTTGAAACCAGACGTACCCAACAGTTCAAAACTTTTATGTACAAAACTGTTAATAATATGGTTCCTAGTTATTTGTCTGGAAAATTTACTTCCACGTCAATGATACACGAACATAGTTTGCGTGGATGTAATCATAAACTTTTTGTACCAAGACCCTTAACGGAATCCTTGAAGAAAAGTTTTTCCTACAGAGGAGCTACCCTCTGGAATGACATACCCGTCGAACTCACTAGAGTTCAATCTCTCGTTGAGTTTAAATCTAAAATATCTTAATATTTCTTTTATATTAGTTTCTTTGCATGTGTAGTCTGTTATCTTTGTAAATAGTTTGATACTTTTTTATTAGTAATTAGTCGACTAGTATAGGTACACGTCTCCATTGAAGAGCACATAACATAACCTGTGAAATGGACCTCGTGTTTTGAATAAAGATGTCAATCAATCAAATTCAGAGGCTCTGCAGCAGTATAATTCGTGACTGAGAGGACGCAGAATAGACACTTCCCGAATTTGCTTGAGTGCACACGAAACAATAGCTTGGAATCGAGGCGGACAATGTAATCCATTGGAAAACTATACTTATTTCCAATGGATTACATTGTCCGCCTCGATTCCAAGCTATTGTTTCGTGTGCACTCAAGCAAATTCGGGAAGTGTCTATTGCGATAATCATTCACACATAATATCACTGCTTATTGAATGAATCCAGAAAGTTTACATTTAGGCTTCGTTTCATTATTTTATGCGGCTATATTACGACGATCGGCATCAAACGAATGTTAATCACGTCATTAAATGTTATCTACAAATAAATGTACGATTTCCAAATTAACGCAGGAAACTTTGTTCCCATGTTGATGTTATTAGCTTATGAAAATAGCAAAATTTCGTCAAATTACCCTGCTGCAAGTCGAACGCGTTTTTCGCGTGATGAATTTCACGCGCCATAATGAAACAGTCTGCCGCTTATTGTAAGGAATATTATATTTCCAATAACAACATTCATTGCGCATTCAAGCCGATATCTTAAAGCAGAATTAATGCTTGAAGGGAAGCATGCCATGGTGGAAAAGACCGACTAAACTATACGTTCTATAATTAATTTATAATTCACAAGCAATTTTTCATTGAAAATAAGAAACAATCAACAATTAATACTAAATAATCGCAAGATAGCGTACTATAAGAAGCTTTTATTTATCAGCAGTTCAAAGGTCAGCTGTCGCAAATGATCAGTGGCGTAACGCAACCGCTGGGGGCCCTCCGTCAATCGGCCACTTTGGGGCCCTTTGCTACACTAAAAATAGGCTCCAAAAATTTTTCTCGGAACAATTTATTTTTGGCGACCTCCCCCCCCGCCCCCGCCCCCCCCCGTCGCCAAAAAATTTTCGGACATTGTACCATTTTAGGGGTCCAAAATTTTTTCCGGACATACCCAATGAAATTGCAATTAATTCATTCTAGTATCTCGTCCTTTACCTCAGCTTCGGGAAATTTCTCGACGGATTTTGCCTTTTCCAGAGAATGGGTTTTTTTTATTCAACAAGACGCCTGCTCAGGCGTTCACACTGGCCTGAAAATAACGAGATACGTGCTATGGTGCAAAAGGCAGGAATACAAATCTTAAACCGCAAGCAAATTTTATGGACTTTTTAAAAAAATAAAAGACCTTTTCGGGAGACGTAATGGAGATCGATGCACGTGCAAATCATGCCGACCTACAGAATCGATTTCCGGTTTTTCCTAACAGCGCGTTGTTTTCATGTGCGTTCCATGGGCCGCGCTAAAAATATAAATATTCTGTAAATACCGAAATAAAAGATGAAAATCTCAAGACACAAGCTTGAAAATAACACTATAAATAGTGTTTTCGATTCTGGTTCCAATAACATTATCACGAAAAAGATTATGTTCGGCAAAATGTATGGCTAGTTTACATTGTTTGTTGTATTACGAAATATGATACTATACTTGTATTAAAATTCGGGTCGAACTAATGTTATTGTAAATGAGTAGACTTGCCACAAGTCGACCTCGAACGAAATGCGTTTCTTCGAGGTCGACTTGTGGCAAGTCTAGCAAATGGGAACCATACAAATGATACAATAATGGTTCTAGTTCTTGTTGGTATTTTGAACGCACGCTTTATCTTTAGTATAGCTACCACAAAGCTTTTCGCGCGGATTATATTTCGTGGAGTACTAAGTATTATATTTTGTGGTTTTCGAGTCATTACACAAAGCAAAACACATTCATTCAACACACAAGAAAGCCCAGAGTACAACACAACGTAAAATACAAAGGAAACCGGCACAATTCTTTGAAAATTCAACGAAACTGTGTAAAATATAGTTTGATAACTCTGTGAAAAGCCGCCATTGCAGTTGGGAATTGTGCGCGTGCGTACAAGTGTATAGGCTAATAAACGAAAAATGTACCACAAGCATGGCATGAGTCGGCTATTACGTACATATATGCGAGCTTATTACTATGTTATCTAAATCACGGAATCGAGGGAATCCATGGCATTTTGGCTTAATCGTTGCACCCTGAGCCTGCGATGAGCAAACGCAAACTCGATTTCTCGACTACGAAAAAAACAGAAAAAGGGGGATTTAAGACACTTGGCCTTACAGGCCAGTGTAATTAATTCAATTCCCCAGAAATGTGCTATCAAATTTTTTAAGGTCATTTTTGTTGAAGGCCCCTAAAGTTCGGGGGGCCCCCGTCTCTGGACACCCTGACACCCTCCCGTTACGCCACTGCAAATGATACAATAATATTGCTATATAAAAAGCCAATTGTTACATAAAAACTGAATAGTATACCGACTTCTTTGCATTGTATATTCCAAAATAATCCTGTCGCTCATATATACTATATTTTGATTTGAAGCAAACGCCCGAATTCACCAAAATACTCACACAAGGGGCGCATATTCTAACAGACGCATTACTAACAGACCGCGCGTGCAACACGCGCGCAAGATATTATCCAAGCGTGGGCAGACCCAGGCATTAATATAACTCTCTCCTCCGCAGAGGCAATTGGAATAGGCTTCCATGAAACTTACATGAAGTTTCGGAATCTTACATGAAGTTTCGTGCGCGCTTATTACATGAATGGAATAGGCTTACATATGAATCTTACATGAAGTTTCAATTGGGGAGAGAAACGCGCGCGGGGGGCAACGGGAAGACGGAAGAAAGAATTGCCTTTTCTTCTTTCTTCCGCCTTCCCGTCGCTCCCCACGCGCCTCCCTTCCCCCAGGAAACTTCATGTAAGCGCGCACGAAACTTCATGTAAGATTCATGGAAGCCTATTCCAATTGCCTCTGCGAAGGAGAGTGTTAATACTAGAAGTTACTATCGCAAGGGAAGTGCTGCCTTACGACCCATAGTCCTGGGGATTGATTTATACCAAAAAACTTCATTTATTTAAATTGCCTTATATATACACTGTATGTATGAATTTATTTTGTTTAATAATGCAATAATTACTATATACTGTAAACTGGTCTTCGGATTTTCATATTTACACATCTTATTGTTGGTACCAATGTTTTAAACCGTCTTCACTTGTCAAAACGTCTAGAAGAACACAATTAGGAAGAACAAACATATGTTTTTAACGCGATATGATTAGTTTGTTGCAAGTTTGCATGTTCTTTCCAAGTAATAATAATCTATTGTATTTTCCAATTGGTAAACAAGACAGTGCCATGATCATTCATTGTTTTTTTGTCCAATATGCAGATGTTTCGTATTTGTTTATCATGTACAGGTATAGTGTCCATTGTTGGCCATCATATTGTCCAATAACTTGTTAGGTTACTGTACATAGAAAGTTATGTAATATCTTGACATACAATGTTCCTGACATCCATATGGTAGATTGGAAACAAGAACAGTAATTTAACAATACATGGCAGATTCCATATCCCATTGCATTAGATTAGATGTATTGTAGTATATCCATACAATCTTGTAAATCAGCATTCTTGTTTACAGAAATACATTATTTTCTCTTAATCCAGAAGCTCCCGTCCATTTTCATGAGATGTACAGTAATATATCCATATTGTATTTTGGCTGTAACAACCATTTGGTTTCATCTAGCAGTTAACATGGCACCATTCACATCCGTCAGAATTGCAAAACTATAGAAAAAAATAATTTGGTAGCATGAGATATTTATGTGGAAACATAGTAGCACATAACTGAATGAAAATAAAAGTCGGGCAGGGGGAGGGGTTAATAAACAAACAAAAAACTTACCCTTCTTTTGTCTTGCAAATCATAATATTTTCATACATACAGTGATAACAAGGAGTAAATTAGTTATTATATAATAAAATTAAATTACTTAAAAGGGTATATAGTCAAAGTACATACCAAACTATAACTGGGATAC